TGTTTTTGTTTTTGGTCTGACACCTCTTAGATTTCCAAATAAAATGTGGACATGGCAGCCTCTAAGTGAGGCCAGCACTTAGGAACAAACACCCACATTAGTGTACCTCGAACTGTCCATCTTTTCTTTCTCTCTTTCTCAGATCAGTTATTCTCAACCTGTAGGTCATGACCCCTTTGGGGTTGCACATCAGACATTTACGATTCATAACAGTAGCAAAATTACAGCTATGAAGTAGCATGAAATAATTTTATGGTTGGAGGGGTCACCACAACATGAGGAACTGTATTAAAGAGCCCCAGCAATAGGAAGGACCACTGCTTTAGATAAAACTTTTTAGGGACTGGGGAGATGGCTCAGTGGGTAAAGAGCTTGCCATGTAAGCATGAGGACCTTGGATCTCCCAGAACTCACGTCTTAAAAGTCAGAGCTGTAATTCAGCACTGGGAGACAGAGATAGGCAGATCCCTGAAGCTCCCTGGGGCTCTGGCTAGCCAGTCCAGCCTGCTTGGTCAGTTTAGAAAGTGAGAGACCCAGTCTCAAAACCAAACCAGCCCGACAAGCAATTTAAGATGGACAGCAGCCGAGGAACATCAGCTGGGCCTGTCCTACAGCCTTTACTCACATGCACCTGTAAACACACAAATGAATGAATGGGCACGCACACATACACACACACACACACACACACACACACACACACACACACACACACACACACTTTTAAAGCTGAGCATGTCCAGAGGCAGCTGCCTATCATCCTCATTAGTCTAGCTGAGCATGCCTATAGGTGTCTGTATGTTTAATTTTAAACTTTTGAACTCAGGTGATTAAGCTAGGGATGCCCCCAAATAGGCCCTACTGTTTTCCCTTCCTGAACTATGTCCTTAAATGGAGATTGCTCGGAAGGTGCCTTTCCATAGGCATAGGCATAGGCTTTCCGAATAAAATCTCCATGCTTCCTTCCCGCAAAGAGGGCACTGTGGCTCTGGAAATGACCTGTGCCCTCCCACCTGCTGCAGGTAATAAATCTTTCTCTACCCTGTGATTTCTCAGCTGTGCTTACTTTGGCTTTCTGCTCACCACAATATGAGCCCACTGGGTTTAGTGAGGAGTATTCACATACAAAAATCATACGAAGCCAATCACTGGTGAAACACAACTGAAAGCATGCTATTATTTGGGGCGGGATTTTTGACCGTGTCTCAAGGCATCTTTGGACTGCTTTGGCTGAAATTTTGAAGACACACATTTAAAAATAATCTGTGCACCTGTCCTTCTGGAGAACTAACTTCACACTGTTTCTGTCTGGAAGAGAATGTTGTTGGGGACAGTAGCCTCTGATTCTGTGTAACCTGAGACCAACTGCACATGGCCAAGAGTCTGTCCAGACAGCTGATGTTCCTCTCTGAGACTTGCTGTCTACAAGAGGCTGCTCACAGTGTAAACACCAGAGCATGGTGTGATACGATGAGAACACCTTAGAGTGATATTTGCTTGTGGGATTTCCACACAGAGGGAAAATTTTAAATGGAGTTCAAAACTATTACCACTTACCACGACTACACTTTTTTTTTAAATGGCACATCTAAAGGACAGTTTGCTTATGCTTAATAGAAACTGCCACACAGGAGGTCTTTGGGGCATGACTACTGTGTCACCTTGGCTAGGGAAATATTGTTTTCTGACCCTCCACAAAATGACTTGCTTGTTGATACCTGAAGGAAGCAACAGGGTGTACCGGGCTGCAAGCTGCTCCTCTTCATTCAGCCCCAACCCAGACACCTCAGTCAACATGAACCCAGATAGCAAGAATTCTGATGCCCTGGTAAGAAACCAGCCATGCCATGGGTCATGTTGAAGATGATTGCTGAGAAGTTTATGTCACGGGGCTGGTGCAGCTGGGTGGCAGAGTGCCTGCCTAGGATGTGAGACTCTGGGTTCCAGCTACAACACCTCAAAGGAAAAGAGACTCTGTGCATCAACCCCTGGGAAAACGTTAGACGATGAGAAAGTGAAGACATGGGAGCTTCAAGCTCGCCACTGTTCACACATGTTGAGAGTGCTCACCCCATGTGTGTTCGTGCATGTGGGGGCCAGAGATTGACACCAGGTGTCCTCCTCAGTCAATCTCCACCGTAATTTTTGAGGTAGGGTCTCTCACTGAACCTGGAGCTCACTGATTGTCAAGAACAGCTAGCCAGCAAGCCCCAGGGGTTCTTCTCTCTCAGTCTCCCCAGAGCTGGGATTCCATGTGTAATCACGCAACTTTTATGTGAACGCTGGGGATCAAATTCGGGTCCCCATGTAAGCTTGGCCAGCGCCTTACCAACTGAGCCGTCCCACTGGCCCCATGGGCAAGTCCTTAGACCTTTCTGGCCTCTGTTTCTCCTACTGTAAACTGAAACCCAAGAGCTCCATGCCTCAAACATGTATGTGTAGACCATTGATCTTTGTGAAGTTTTGGGCAACACAATAAGTTAAACACTGTCCCACTTGGAATCCACAGAGTTCAAGGTCTGCCAGTCAAAGGAAACAAACCCCAAGTCACACAAAAGCACACAAACATCTCGACAGTACTATTGTGGCAGTGCGGAACGTTCACGGGCACCGTGTGCCAGGACTCCTTCTAAAGATCAGCCACGAGACTCCTTTAACAACTGCATGTGACAGGAACTTTATCGCTGGTCCCATTCTGAATGGGGAAACAAAGGTCCAGTGAAGTCAACTAGGTAAGGGTCCCATGGATGGAAGCAGCAGCTACAGTCCTGGGGCGACTCTGCCGTTAATACTGTCCTGCCTTCCAACTGGCCATGAACCTGGAACAGTCTTGAGAACTTCGTATTTTACTTAATTTTTTCTCAAGGACCATTTCAGAGTTTCAGTGTACTGGGCAGTATAGCGCTGGGCCATATTAGAATTTATATTATTGTTTTTTTGTTTTGTTTTGTTTTGGTTTTTAGTTTTGTTTTTGTTTTTGTTTTTTTTGGTTTTTCGAGACAGGGTTTCTCTGTGCAGCTTTGCACCTTTCCTGGAACTCACTTGGTAACCCAGGCTGGCCTCGAACTCACAGAGATTCGCCTGGCTCTGCCTCCCAAGTGCTGGGATTAAAGGTGTACGCCACCACCGCCCGGCTAGGATTTATATTATATTAGGTAATATTTATTGAAGACCCTCCCTGTCTTGTAAGAGGGGGCGGGGCTTTTGGAGCCCTTGAAAGGTGGACAAGGTGCAAACAGCCTGTGCCTGGGACAGCAGCTTCTCCTCTGCTCTCCTGCTGGCACTCGGCCACTCTATTCTTCCTGCTCCACAGCAAGCCAAGCCCATCAATCAAAGAACAGCGAATCAGCTCCAAAGAATACAGAACAGCAGCAATAAATAGGTGTACCGTGCTTCCTGTGACCTTTAAACTGATTACAGCCCTGATTGAGTCCCAGTTCTGAACTGAACTGAAATGGCAGTTGGGCAAAAGAAAGGCCGGGCCTGAGCCAGCCGAACAGGAGTAATTGCTGAAGTGGCTTATCTCCCTCCCTCCCTTATTTGCCCTCCCTCCTTCCCGACCCTCTCCCCTTCCGGCCTTCCTTTCCTTTTTCTCTCTCCTTTTTCTCTCTCCTTTTCTTTCTTTCTTTCTTTCTTTCTTTCTTTCTTTCTTTCTTTCTTTCTTTCTTTCTTGTGTGTGCATGTGTGTGTGCGTGTGTGTGTGTGTGTGTGTGTGTGTGTGTGTGTGTGTGTGTGTGTATGTGTGATACACATGTTCCTATGGATGTGTACACATCTGTGCTCATGCATGTGGAGGTCAGATGTAAATGTTGGGTATCTTCCTCAGCCACTTCTTCACCTTGTTTATTGAAATAGTCTCTCACTGAACCAGAGTCCACCAACGAGACCAGACTGTCTCACCAGCAGGCCGCAGAGACCCCGGCTGCCCCCCACCCTGTAGCACCGGGGCTTACAGTCTTTGTACTCGGTGCCGGGGAATCCAGTTCAGGTCCCCATGCTTACATAGCAAGCACTTCACTGACGGAACCACTGTGCCAGCAACCCCCCCACCCCCGTTCTCTTTTATTTTTAAACTTTAACATTATATATTCACAGTAGGGAAAACAGAAAAACAATTGCCAAAAAAGGGAAGGAAACAAAAATCCCACCGTGATTAATACGCTGGTGTTCATTCTGATATGTTCTTTTCCAATACAAAAATATAGCTAAAGAAGAGGATTTAGTAATACAAAGCACTGGTTCATAGAAGCCCGACCATCTGCCATCTGCAAGCAGGGGAGGAGTGTGGAGGGGTGCTACATGTGTGTGTTAACATGCCCACACGTGTGGGGAGGTGGATCACAGGTTTGAGAGTGGAGAGCCCATTGCGTCTGGTTCAGCCCACATCTGAGGCCCGAGGCCCGGGAGGCCCAGAGGAGAGGCAGGAGGAGACAGACCCGCGCTCTGCATATACAGGCAAGTCATTCGACCTTCCTCGCCCCTTCTCCCATTCTGGCCCTCACCAATGGAGAGGGCAGCCATCTGTTCAGCCTACCAGTTTCTAGAAACACCCTCACAGCTATACCCAGAAATAGTACTCACCAACTGAGCATCCCCTGGCCCAGCCAAACTGACACACGGAATTGCCCACAACGAAAAGGAAGGTGGAAATAAACCTGCTGAGGTTCAGACACACAGCAGGAGTTGAGGAGGGTGATTACCTGCGCACCCTGCCATTAACACGGTTCCCCAAATCACAGCTTGATAGCTAGAAAATAAAAGCCCTTAGATACAAGATGACACAGAATCCTCAAGGGAGGGAAATGGCCACGTGAATTACATCCTGTGGACTCTGTAGCTGCCTTGCAGGACACACACACACACACACACACACACACACACACACACACACACACACACACACACACGGGTTCTGCAGGCCTCCGAGAGTTTCCCTCTAGAGCTCAGGTGAAAGATCAGCCTTTCCAGAATGAGCGTGGGCTGTGGAGCCCGCCACTCACATTTCTGCTCTTGTTTGGCCCAGAAGATCTTCACACGCTGCCGGATGTGCTTGTCCTCACGAAGCTTCTTCTGCCACTGCCGCAGCTCCTGAATCTCAGGGTCACAGCGAACCTGGAAAAGGCCACAAAGCTTAGCCAGGCCCCCTTCTCCACACCTCCACACGCCCCCTTAATAAGTCTTCATAGAAAAGCCTTCAGAACCAACTGGATGTACTGTAACTTTTTATAACTCTCTTGCACACAGGGCGCAAACTGAGAGCCTCATACATGCTAGGCAAGTGCTCTACCACCGAGCTACACCCCAGCCCTAGTTTGATGGACTTTGGATTCTTAGAAAACACTGTTCTCGGTGAGTTATCTACACTCCAAAAGTTTGTTTCATACGTGAGCACAAATAAGATTGTGAGGATTTGCCATACTAATGGTATGTTGAGAATATTCTAGATTTGGGTTGTCCCATATTACTATAATGTGCAATTTTAAGTTTTCTCTATCTCATTTGAAAAAAAAAAAGAAGCAGGCAAGGATGTTTTAGATAATATATCTTATTTAACCTAGATAATTAATATCATTAATACTTACTTGTTGATATCCAAAAATCTTGTCATTTCAACATGTAATTAATACAAAAATTATTTATGGCAGGCACATGTCTATAATCCCAGCACTTTGGAAGGTTGAAGCAGGAAAATTTTGAATTCAAGACCAGAATGAGCTACACATCAAGACTCTCTCCCAGGTCCATCCCATAGCCCTTGATGGAGTGTCTTCTTCCTTCTACATGTATTCTATCTACTATTGAGATAACCAGCAAACCCTGGCTGCACCCAGCACCTGATGAACCAGATGTGGTAGCAGATTCCCAGAATCCCAGCACTCAGGAGGTAGAGGCAAGACGATAAGGAATTCAAGGTCATCTTCCAACCACACAGAGAATTTTGAGTCTAGCATGGGATCCAAAAGACCATGATTCATTCTATTGAGGTAGGAATGATTGGGCCCATTCTAAAGATGAGAAAACCAAGATGAAGACAGCAGATGGAATTCCAGGGGAGGGTGCCAGGGGAGAGGTGTGATGGTATGATGCAGTACTGTGTGACCCAGTAGACTCAGAAGCATAGCCCCTCACCCCCTTCTCCATCCCGAGGCACCCTTCTATCACCTGCTTGCTGGAGGGACTGTTCAGCAGAAAATTGACTACAAGCCTAAGTGGGTAACTACGTGTCCAGTTTATTCTGAAAAAGAAGTTAAAGTCACTGAGTAGACAAGGAACAACCACCATATCCAAGGACATTGTCATGGTAACACTTACACAGCTCTTGGAATTAACTATCAAAGATGACCACTTTGTGGGTTCCCTTTCACAGTCAGCTCCATTCATTAAAATGCAGCCATAGTTTTATAATCTGGGGAATAGTTCCCTGTATTCGAATTAGTATGCAAATCTGGGGAAGTCACACACTAGATGCCAAGGTCAGTGGCGCCCCCAGTCAGTGGCCACACCTATCTTTCCAGGGTTCCCATGTGCCCAAGGGGCAGTGTGCTTGTCCTTGTCTTCTAGAACCCATAACTTTGACTTGCTATCACTGGACAGGAACAGGTGGGATGAGGCAGAGGCAGGACAATCAGGAGCTGCAGTGGGAACCTCAAGCACAGGCAAGACCCAGTGGATACAGGAAACAAACAGAGGCAGTTCAGGGAGAGGTCCAAAGGGCAGCTGCTCCCCAAGCCTGCTGGTAGGGCCATCCTATGGAGGCCACCCAGGTATGTGTCCATCAGCTTTTTCAAGCCACCGTTGGAGCTTAAGACTTCCCACCCAGTCACAGAAACTATCATTAAAGCCACCTACCCATCTGCCTTCCCCCAGGATACAAATGGTCCCTGAAAGGACTGGGCTGAGTCAGGTTTGGCCATCAGATCCCTCCCAGCCCTACAGCTAATCTTCCCTTCTCTGTTCCCCCTTTCCGTGCAAGGCCCACCTCTTGTCATCTCTTGGCAGTTTTATTTAGGGGAGGTGTGTTGCCGTTGTCTCTCCTGGGAATGTCTATGAGTTATCAGCAGCCCTGATGGTTGTCTTTTTTACTTAATTGTGGTAAAATACACACAATATAAATACTACATTTTAACTTCAGTGGTGCTAAGTTCATTCAGAACACTGTGCAACCACCTCCACTCATCGAATTCCAGAACATTCTTATTGCCTCAAAAGGAAATTCTGTACCCACTAATCAGTACTTCCCTATTCTCCATTCTCCCCATCCCAGCCACTAATCTGTTTTAGAGTATCTGTGGATTTCCCTATCTGGGGTATTTCACATAAATGCAATCATTTGCCCATGGACTGTTTGTGTCTGGATTCTTCACTCATACAGAGTTTCACCATTTATCCCACTTCCTTGCTGCATAGCCTCCCACTGAGTAGCTAGACAACAGTGTGATTTATCGACTTGTCTCCTCATGGACATTGGAGTCATTGCCACCTTTTACTATTGTGAACAGAGTTCTGTGAACACCTGCCCACGCCACATTTTTCCTTAAGTATTTATTTCCCTATCGTTGTTTGATGCTGACCTACATCACAAACAGAAACACCTGTTTGGCCACCTTTTCAAAGGCTGCATTTGTCCACAGGGCTCTGCTGACAGTACCATGTGGTCTCCTCTGTTGGGCCAGAGACCTTTGTCCTTGACCTTCTTCATGTCGTCCTGAGTGCTATTCACCTTGGCAGAACGCAGCAGCAACAGACCTGTTGGTGGGTCTCTCATTGCCAGGAGACCCTGGAGCACTAGAGAAGGCTTTTGTGAGCTGGGGAGAGCAGGCATCTATTGACGGCTAATCCCACTGACGATTGTCACTGTTAGGAAAGCACTTTAGATGGCAGGAGTTGTGCCCATCAGCAAATTCCAGAGTGCAGTGTGGAATCAACATGCAGCGGGTTCCCTTCCCATGGCTTCCCACCACTTTGCTACTTGGTTTTTGAAGTCACTGTGGAGAGTCAGCTTGCTCTTCCGGTGTGCACAAGAATATGACTGATGCTATGGACTTGACTTTGGTGCACAAATAAACCAGAAGCTTCTTGATACGGGTGTCAATTTTTATTTGTTGTAATTTATTTATGTATAGTTATTTATTTTGCCTTGTTAGGGACCAAAGGCAGGACTTTGCACATGCTAGGCCAGTGCTTTATCATTGCCCAGTCTGGCTGTCAACTATTTTAATACCCCTGAGACTTTCAAATTCTTCCAATTCTGTATGACTCTAATGAAAGGCATTAAGAGAACCGTGTCAGTTTATAAAGCCAGCTCTAGGCTGTGGAGATGGTTCTGTGGGTAAAATACTTGCCATGCAAGCACGAGGACCTGAGTTCAAAGCCTCAGAACCAGGTAAAGCCCGGTGTAATGGTATTTGCTTCCGCCCATGACCTTGGGCTGTATGGTCCAAAGGAGGTGGTTCTTCCTGCCATTGTATATGACCTCTTACAAGGGGCTGTAGAAGGGTCACATGTCCTGCTCCCTGCTCCTGCTTACAGGTGGATTCGCTCCGGTCAGATCAGAGGACGACTCCCGCTGTCTACTCCGTTCTGTAATCGTGAGTGTATTTCCTCAATTTATATCTTAATAAATTCTGTTAGAATAGACTCACATGGATTGATCGCAATAGCCTGGCATGGCCACACCTACCTAGAACCCCAGTACTCCTCCAAGACAGGAGTCAGTGACAGCAGAGTCCTGGAAGCTGACATACCAGACCCTGGCACACACAGCAGTGAACAGTAAGAGTTCTGTTTTAAACAGGAAAGCAAGGAGTAACACTGGAGGGTGTGCTCTGACCACTACAGGAGCACTGTGACATCCCCCCACTGCCACCACATGGACAGACGTACACATCATATACACAGACAATGGGAAAGGGACGGGGAAGGAGACTCTAAACCTGACAGTCTGAGACTGAATCTCAGCTCTGCACAGCCTTGAGTAAGTTGCTTAGGCCCTCAGAGCCTCAGTTTCTTAATCTGTAAAATGGAGTTGGTGTCGGGCAGTGGTGGTGCACGCCTTTAATCCCAGCACTCGGGAGGCAGAGGCAAGTGGATCTCTGTGAGTTCAAGGCCAGCCTGGTCTACAGAGAAAGTTCCAGGAAAGGTGCAAAGCTACAGAGAAACCCTGTCTTGGAAAAAAAAAAAATGGAGTTGGCACAAAAGCAACGCCTGAAGTGCTAATAAAAACATGTCTACGGAAGCTCTCTTTGTGTTAACCATTCTTAAAACCAACTAGTAAAGAAAAGAGTGGATTCATCTGATGCTGAATCCTCTAATTGCCTTGAATGCTCCAAACCAAGTGGCTGAGGAGCCAGTGACTCAGTTAAAAGTGTGGTCTTCTCCCCGGGGTTCACAAAGCGCTGAGCACATACATGATTTTGTAATTTCGTAACTCTGGGCTCTGGCCAGCTTGAACAGAGGTTCTGGGGTTGTGTGGGGTGGGTGACGGCAGGGGAGGAAAGCAGAGGTTGCTGGGACTCTGCCCTTCCTAATCTCTCCTTCCCAACTGCTCTTAGCTCACTTGTTTTCCCTGCTTCTTGGCCAAACAGACACTCACATAGCAACAGCTGCCATCACTTATTCCCTCAAGCTTTCCTAATTGCCTCGAAGGAAAGTGCTTCATCCATTACAGTCACTGGGAGGACGCTGGAGAAGTAACAGAATGGACGGGCCCTTCGATGACGCTCACAAGTGCCAGCCCTGGAGTTGGCATGAGATGTCTCCCAGTAGATTCTTAGGATGTCTTTGCCATGGCTGACATCCTAATGGTTATGGGAACGGACTTTACATTCGAAAGACTAGTTTCCACATGTGGAAGAGAGGGGCGGGGGTTGGGGGGAGATGTTTGCAAAACTCTTTTCCACTACCCACCCAATAAAAGTCCCAGAGCGCATAGCTAGCAAGTTCCACTTTCTCTTTGGAAGGAAGCTTGGAGAGTTCTTTTCAGATCTTTGGCAAAACCAAATCAAAGCAGAGCAAAGTCAGCTGCTTGTTCTAGAAGTTGCTAGTGTTTCCTTTTGTCTCAGGAGCTGTGTGTCTAGTGGCAGGCCCGGTTACTGACATTCACCCGCACTGTA